TGCTGAATAATAATCACTGTATATGAAACAGAATAGGATCCTGCCTCTCGTTTGTAGAAAAGCTTCACCTAGGACCTGCCCAAGTTCCAAAGAACAAATTTAATTAGAAAAGTAAGAAAATGGAGAAACAAAGGAAAACTGTCAAGTAACATAAAACAGTAATAGTTCAGCTACCAAACACAGTCAAGGACCTTTAGTTCTTCTGCAAGGGACAGACGTATTATCCTTAGCCATGTCCTTGAGTTGCTCTGCTGACACTGAAACCCCCACCAGGTGGAATAGGTTAGCTGCACGCTGACCACAAGCACACAAGCCACAGACTGGATGTTGCCAGAAGTGGGATGATGGTGACTCCTGACTACTTCAGCACCAACCAATCAGAAAAATGTCCACAAGCTGATCAGTCACCCTGCAACCCTGTCACTCACACTGTTATTAAAAATTTTTCCCTGAAAGCCACTGCGTCCAAAAGATCCAAACTCATGCCTCCACACTCGGCCCCGCACTGGGGGTGCCGTGCAACAAAGGCTGTACTTTCTCTCACCACAACACAGTGTCAACAGACTGGCTTTACTACACCCGGGCAGGCAGACCCGAGTTAATTCAGTAACACACACACACATGTACACAAAAACACAGATATACATACATACACATTGAGAAATGGTACATTTCCTGCCACATCAGCAAACAAAGGGTGGCACAGTCCTCGCTGATGTCAGCCACCACAGAAGATGAGCTGGTGAGCCCTGCGGGAACCGGGGAGGAAGCACCCGTTGTCTAGCAGCCATCGGACTGCAGTCACCCCCACACGGAGCCCCGAGGAAACTCGGGGTGAGAGAACACAGGATACTGGCCCTAGACAGTCAAGATGTGTGTCTAAGGAATGATTTAAGGGAACTCAGACTCTTGTATCTTCCCAAATACAGAAAAGCACTAAACTCCTTAACTTGAGATACCAGGCTTTCTTCAATTAACAATAACCTTCTGATGTTCAGACTACCTACCCTTTGTTGTGTAACGCCTATATATTCTGTCTACCCACCCCCCACTCAGCTCATTACAGCAGTTTATCTTGAGGTTACTTGTGATGCTGCCTTCCAGGCCTGAAGTCCTAAAAATTCCCACCAAATAAAATATAACTCTCATCTTTTAGGTTGTGAATATTTTTTTAGTAGACGACATACATTTGTCATTGTTCACTCACTAAGTCGTGTCCAACTCTTTTGCAACCCCATGGACTTAGCTCACCAGACTCCTCTGTCCATGGGATTTCCCAGGTAAAAACAGTGGAGTGGGTTGCCATTTACTTCTCCAGGGGCTCTTCCTGACCCAGGGATCTAACCCATGTCTACCTCCATTGGCAGCCAGATTCTTTACCAGAGAAGCCCAGATAATACAAATACCCACACATTTTGTTTATTCATTCATCTGATGATAGATATTTGGGTAGATATTTGGGTTGCTTCCACCATTAGGACACTGTGAATAGTGCCACTGTGAACATCAAGGTACAACTTCTGTTGAGACCCTGCTGTCAAATCTTTGGGGTGTATGTCCAGAGGCAAAATCACTAGGTCACATGGTATTTTTAACTTTTGCGAAACCAACAAACTGTTTTCCAGAGTGGCTGCATCATTTTAAATTCCCACCAATCGTACACAGGGATTTCAATTTCTCCACATCCTCAACATTTATTTTCCCATTTATGGGTAACAGCTATCCTAATGGGTATATAGTAATATCTCATTATGGTTTTGATCAGCTAATGACTAACGATTAGGAACGTCTTTTAATGTTCCAGGTTGCCTAGAAAGAATCAAGAATATGGCCATGATGGTATAATAGGAAATGGATTTATCCGCTTGCTTGAAATAACCAAAAAGAAAAGAAACGAGACAAAATACTTGAAACAAGGGTTTTCAAGACATGGGACATTAGGCAAGAAGAATACTAACTCCTGAAAGACGAAACAAAGAACTGAGCTCTACAATTGCCCTACAGTATGACTGCTCTACAATTGTTCTGTAAAGAATTTCCAAACTACACAGTGAGGAGGTGGAACTGAGGTGGAGACTGCACGGCTCCCTGAGTTGAAGGAACAAGGTCGAGAGTCCATGGAGACAGAAGGAGCTCAAGTTCACAGTCCAGAGCACCAGAAAAGTCAGAGCTACACAGAGAAACCAAACATCCCCCTCAAGTATTCGGCAAAGTGCTGATCAGCACATGCACATAAAGAAACTACATCAGGGAAAGAATCCCTTGGGAGCAGAGGAAGAACAGTGACTAGAGTTCATACAGGGTCAGGAAACAGTAGCTATCCCTGCTAACCCAGAGGAAAATCTGTAACTCAGGGCATTACAGAGAATACTTGGGAAGGTCCTGCTTCAGCGCTAAGACCTAAGACTGAGTACTCCTCCAGACGCAGAGAAAAAACCATAAAGCAACATTTAAAAGGATGAAACTGTTTCCAGTAACTGTACCACAGAACAAAGCCTCAGAGCATTCAAAGAAATTTTTTAAAAATCTAGTACCCAACAACATAAAATTCAAAATATGTGGTATACACTCAAAAATTTCCAGGCAGGTAAAGAAGGAATAAAATACAACTTAAAATGAAAACAAATATCAATCAATAGAAAGAGACACAGAAATGACACAGATGATAGGTTTATAGAAAAAGCCATTAAAACAGCTATTATAAATAGAATATGCTGAAAACACAGATAAACATATGATTGTGTTAAGGAGAAACATGGACAATATAAAATGACTCATAACAAACTTTTAGAGATGGCAGATACACTGGATAGTATTAATAGCAGATCAGACATGACAGGAAAAAAGATTATTAAACTTGATATAGCAATAAAAACCACTCAAAATGAGAGAAAAAAATGGGCACAACATCAATAATCCTTGACATAAAATCAAGCAGCCTAATTAATACACAGATAATTGCAGTCACAAAAGGGAAGGAAAAGGGGAGTCAGAAAAAGAAAAAAAAGTGCTGAATAAAGGCAAAAATCTCTTCAAATGTGATGAAAGTTTTGTGCCCACTTGTGAGGAAGAGAGCTAACTTAGCAGACCTGAGACAGGTGTCCCGAGAGATCCATGCTTGCAAGGCTGCTCCCTACCAACCTCTGGGAACTTGGATGTCAGGATGAGTCCACCATGCCCTAAATGATAAGAGTGTCTCCCTGCACCTCAACAATGCAGCTTATGTTTTAATACACATTTTTCTCCTGAAATCTGAAATTCTGGCACATGCTAGGCAGAGAGCACCCCTCAAAAAACCCTGGGCTCGGAGTCACTGATGAGCCCCACTGGTAGACACCAGTGCACATATGTTGTCAAAACTCACTGCTGGAGCAATAAAGCATACCCTGTGTGACTCCACTGAGAAAGACTCTTGGAAGAGTGCTGATTTTGCTTCTGTATGCTAAGTTCTAAATGTCTTCCTAGCAAATCACCAAACCTAGAAGGGAGCTTGGGGATTCCAGACCAACCACAGATCCAATAAATTTGACAAACTCGAAGCAGAAAACCACATCTAAGCACATCACAACTAAAACAGTTTAAAACAGGGAAGAGAAATCTTAAAACATCAAGAGTAAGAATAGCTGCTGGCTTCTTGATAGCAACTCTGGAACTAGAAGAAAAGGAAGCAATGCCTTCAAAATTCTCAAGAAAAATTATTTCCAACCAAAAACTCTATATAAAGTTTCAATCACAGGTCAAAGTGTAATGACTGCGTTTTCTGACATGACAAATCCCAAAAGATTATCTTCCATAAATCCTTCCTTGGAAGCTACTGGAAGATGTGCTCAATCAAAATGAGAGTAAAAATCTAGAAAGAGAAAGACATGGAATCCAGGATAAGGTTGCTCCATGCAGGAATAAGGTGAAGGGAATTCCCCAAAAGAGGGTGAAGGGCAACGTAAGAACGGCAAGGTTCACAAAGCAGAGAGGACTCTCAGGTGAAATCAGAGAGGCTAGGAGTTTGTGAGAAATAGTTCCCCACAAAAACAAAACTAATCAAATGCTGAATGAATAAAAATGATGCAGTATATAATCACAATGGAATATTACTTAGTCATAAAAAATGAAATAATGCCATTTGCAGCAACATGGACAGACCTAGAGATAATCATACCAAGTGAAGTAAGTCAGACAGAAACAAATATCACATGATATCACTTCTTTGTGGGATCTGAAATACGACACATATGAACAAATATACAAAACATAAACAGACTCACAGACATAGAGAATAGTCCTGTGGTTGCCAAGGGGGAGGAGGATGGGGGAGGGATGGATTGGGAGTTTGGGAATAGCAGATGTAAACTAGTATATTTAGAATGGATAAACAACAATGTCCTACTGTATAGAACAGGGAACTATATTCAATATCCTGTGATAAACCATAATAGAAAAGAATATATATATATATATACACACACACACATACATATATATAAAATTGAATCACTTTGCTGTAGAGCAGAAATTAACACAACATTGTAAATCAACTATACTTCAATAAAATATTTTTTAAATTTTCTAAAAACTTAATAGAATGCCTGCTATGTCTGAAAATCTTAATGAGAGAACAGAACAACAGTGAAAACTTAAGAGTTTTATTCGTAAGTAAAACAAAGCAACATAAACCCAAATAATTAACTCTATAAAAAATGAAAAGTTGTAAAGGAAAATCACAATTAACAGTTGTCTTGCTATGAATATTATTATTCAGGATTGCACATTGCTGAATCTAATCTGACCAGACCACAAGACACCTGTCCTGAGGGAACAGAAAGATTCTGGGCAAGACCCATGTGTAACTGAGGTGAGAGCAGGTAAGAAGAGAACTCGTATTTATTCATGTTTAAAAGCACATTACCAGCATATTATTTAGAGGAGCTGCAAACAAAACACCAAAGGTTGTGACTAACACATGCCCTGAATGGAATGGAAAGTTGGAAACAATTCATCCTCACCTTAGGAAGCTCAGGTGGCGTCCCTGCTGGTGTCAAAGAACGACTGCTTGCACCAGAAGCACAGTCAGATATTTCCACCACACTTTCACGGTCTTCAAATTCATCACATTCACAAGCATCTTCCCTCTCACTGTCAATCTCCCAGTCAATAACCTGCAGGTCGTCTAAAAATACAGTTTTAAAATATTCTTAAATTGTATTAAATCTATTTATCCTCAGTAGTTTTAAAAGATCCATGTTGTTCAACAATTTAAAAATATATTAAAAGGCAGAAGAAAGTATATTCCTACTTTTATCCATAAGCATCCCATTTCTCCCACCACTGACTGCCACCTCAATTCTCAATTTCCATTAGTTGCTTTTCTGTTCGTCTGGAGTTTCTTCAGCATTACTGTTGATATGGAGGAAGCTTTAGTATCTCGATAGAAGATCAAGCCAGAAACAACATTCCCTGACGCCAAAGCCTAATCCAGAGCAAGGCCCTAACTCTCCTCAGTTCTGTGAGGGTTAGACAGGTGCGGAAGCTGCAGAAGGAAAGTTTAAAGCTGGCAGAGACTGGTTTGCGACGCTTAAGGAAAGAAGTCACTTCCATGATAGAAAAGTACAAGGTGAAACAGCGAGTACAGATGTAAAAGCCTCACCCAGTCATCCAGGGATCAGGCAAAGAGAATTCATGATTGTGGTTACACTAAACAACAGATTTTCAACTCAGGTGAAATAACCTGCTACTGGCAGAAGATGCCAACTAGGATTTTCATCAGTTCAGTTCAATCGCTCAGTCGTGTCAGACTCTTTGCGACTCCGTGGACTGGAGCATACCAGGCCTCCCTGTCCATCACCAACTCCCAGAGTTTACTCAAACTCATGCCCATTGAGTCAGTGATGCCATCCAACCATCTCATCCTGTGTAGTCCCTTTCTCCTCCTGCCTTCGATCTTTCCAAGCATCAGGGTCTTTTCAAATGAGTCAGTTCTTCTCATCAGGAGGCCAAAGTATTGAACTTTCAGCTTCAGCATTAGTCCTTCCAATGAATATTCAGGATTGATTTCTTTTAGGATGGACTGGTTGGATCTCCTTGCAGTCCATGGGACTTTCAAGAGTCTTCTCCAACACCACAGTTCAAAAGCATCAATTCTCTGGCGTTCAGCTTTCTTTATAGTCCAACTCTCACATCCATACATGACTACTGGAAAAACCATAGCCTTGACTATATGAACCTTTGTTGGCAAAGTAATGTCTCTGCTTTTTAATATGCTGTCTAGGTTGATCATAACTTTTCTTCCAAGGAGCAAGCATCTTTTAATTTTATGACTTCAGTCACCATCTGCAGTGATTTTGGAGCCTAGAAAAATAAAGTCTGTCACTGTTTCCACTGTTTCCCCATCTATTTCCCATGAAGTAATGAGACAAGATTCCATGATCTTAGTTTTCTGAAGTTGAGCTTTAAGCCAACTTTTTCATTCTCCTCTTTCACTTTCATCAAGAAGCTCTTTAGTTCTTCTTTGTTTTCTGCCATAAGAATGGTGTCATCTGCATATCTGAGGTTATTGATATTTCTCCCGGCAATCTTGATTCCAGCTTGTGCTTCCTCCAGCCCAGCATTTCTCATGATGTACTCTGAATATAAGTTAAATAAGCAGGGTGACAATATACAGCCTTGACATACTCCTTTCCCAATATGGAACTAGTCTGTTGTTCCATGTACATTTCTAACTGTTGCTTCCTGACCTGCAATCAGATTTCTCAGGAGGCAGGTCAGGTGATCTGGTATTCCCATCTCTTTAAGAATTTTCCACAGTTTGTTGTGATCCACACAGTCAAAGGCTTTGGCATAGTCAATAAAGCAGAAGTAGATGTTGTTCTGGAACTCTCTTGCTTTTCTGATGATCCAACAAGTGTTGGCAATTTGATCTTTCGTAGATATCCAGTGTTCTTGCCTGGAGAATCTCAGAGGAGGCGGAGTTTGGTGGGCTGCCATCTATGGGGCCACACAGAGTCAGAGATGGCTGAAGTGACAGCAGCAGCAGCAGATGAGCAGAAATCAGTGCTTGGCTGCAAAGCTACAAAGGACAGGCTGACTGCCTTGTCAGGGGCTAACGTAGCTGGTGGCCTGAAGGTGAGCCAGCGTTCAACTACCATTCTGAAAATCCTAGGGTGCTTAAGAATCTAATGCTAAGTCTACTCTGCCTGTGCTCCAGTGACAACACAACAAAGTCTGGATGACAGCACAACTGTTTACAACACAGTTTGCTGAGTATTGTAAGCCCATTGTTGAGACCTACTCCTCAGAAGAAAGAGTCCCCTCCAAATATTAATATTCATTGAAAATATACCTGGTCAGCCAAGAGTTCTGATGAAGATGTTGTACAACAGAATGAATGTTGTTTTCATGCCTCAACACCCACTCTGCAGCCCATGCATGAAGGAATAATTTCAACCTTCTGGCCTTATGATTTAAGAAGTTCATTCCACAAGGCTACAGCTGCCGTCGACAGCGATTCTCTGATGGATCTGGGCAAAGTCCACTGAAAACTTTCTGGAGAGGAGTCAGCAGTCTAGATGCCAGTAAGGACATTCATGATTCATGCAAGGGAAGAGGTCAAAACACCCACAGTGACAGGAGTGAAGAAGAAGTGAATTTGGAGCCTCACAGACAACTGTGAGGGGTTCAAGACGTCATGGGAGCAAGGGGCTGCAGGTGTGGTAGAAACAGCAAGAGAACTAGAAGTGGAGCCTGTAGATGTGACTGAACTGCTTAAATCTCAGGATGAAATTCTAACAGGCGAGGAGGTGCTTCTCGTGAATGAGGAAAGAAAGTAGTTTCTTGAGATGGAATTGACTCCTTGTGAAGAGGCTGTGAAGACTGTTGAAATGGCAACAAAGGATGTAGAATATGACATAAACCTAGCTGATAAAACAGCAGCAAAGTCTGAGAGGACTGACTCCAATCCTGAAAGAAGTTCTCCTGTGGGTAAAATGTTACCAAGCAGCAATGCATGCTTCAGAGGAATTGTTTATGAAAGGAACACTCCACTGATGTTGCAAATCTCACTGTGGCCTTATTTTAAGAAACTGCCACACCAACCCCAACCTTCACTTGAGCAGCCATCAACACTGAAGTAAGAACCTCCAGCAGCAAAAATATAAGACTTGCTGAATGAAGGCTCAGATGATAGAAGTTTTAAGCAATAAAGTGTTTTTAAATTAGGGTGTGTCTATCATTTTTTTAGACATACTAGTGCACACTTAATAGACTATAGTAGTATAAAAACATACTCGTATATGCACTAGGAAACAAAAAAGTTCATGTAACTTGTTTCACTGCAACATTCACTTTACTGTGTTGGTCTGGAGCCAAACCCAAATATCTCCAACTGGCTTTGATCAATTTTAACATGTTCAAGTCTAAATTGTCAACTGTAAAAAGAATCCTGGTAATACCTATCTCTGAGGGAGTTACTGTGAGAATTATTATGAGAAAATGTTTCTAAAAGGTTGGGATTCAGTAATATCAAAATGATGCTAAGTATTAGAAGAGAAGTATATGTTATTTGCATTATTAAAATACAATGTATAATAGAAACTAAATTTCTTTAAAAAATTATCAATTTACCTTCACTGGCCCCATCTTCTGGACATAAAATGTTGCTGTTACAACACCTGCCTGTTTTAGAATGATGTCCATTATCTCTTTGTGATTTAAAAATGGTTTTGTCTTCATCTGACAGATCACTTCCACTAGAACTCCATGTTATAGCTGCAAGCCCACTGGTACTCTTAGAGGTGGTAGGTTCTACAAAGAAAAAAAAATATAAAAAATGGCCAATTGATTATGGTTATTGATCACTATGAAGTTTAATACATGCTACTTTGCCAAAGGCACAAATATACAAAATTCTGTTGATGGTGAAAACAATGTCTTATTTCAAATCTTTCCAACTAAAGGTCTATGTGCAACCTGGCTAAATTAAATCCAAACTACAAGAAGAAAAAAATAAAATCAAAGTTATAAAAGACAAGGAAAATGACTGGAGCACAAATGTAAACTCAAAAAATAACCCTGAAATAATTACAAAACTATAACTTTGCAGAATATTTCATCAAGCCTTAAGGGTAAAAAAGTACAAAAAAACCACAAAAATCAATAATTATCTACAAAATGAATGCTTCTGTGTGCTTCCTTTACCAAATCATACTAGGAGCCCTGGTAACAGCAGTTTGCTTAAAATGCTTAACAGCGAACTTTTAAATTTAATTAACCTTATTTTTCAGATAATAGTTGGTTCACATACACTTGTCAGAAATAACAAGAGAGCCCTTGTATGCTTCAAGCAGCTGCTCCAAGAGTAACATTCTGCAAACTACAGTACAACATCACAGCCAGAATGCTGACAGTGATGCTGTCAAAACAGAGAACAACTCCATCACTGTGGGGATATCTTGCACTGCCTTTTCAAAGCCATTAACAGAGCTCGCCTCCCCACCTCAATTCCTATTTCCTAGCAATCACAAAGCAATTTTGCACTTCTCTAATTTTGTCATTTCAAGAATAACATACAAATGAGATCACCTACATCACCTTTTATCACTGGCTTTTTGAGCTTAGCGTAAATACCTGGACATTCACCAGGCTGTTGTGTGTACCAACAGTCACTTCCTTTTTTTTTTTTAAATTACTGAGTACTGTTCTGTGGTGTGGATGAAGAACAACATGTTTAATCAGTTACCCCTTGAAGGACATCTGGGATGTTTTCAGTTTGGGGCTATGACAAATGAAGCCACTATGAACACTATGAACACAATCATGTGATTGTGATTTTCATTCTTCAGGATGTCTAAGGGTACGATTGTTGGACTGTATGGTAATTGCACATGAAGCCTTATAAGGAACTGCCCAGCTGTTTTCCAGAGCGGCCGTGCCATTCTACAGTCCCACAGCCCTGTGAGGGTGATACAAGTTCTCCACATCACCAGCACGTGGCGTGCTCACTATTTTTATGTTGTCCATTCTACAGACAGGAAATCTAGCAGGAATGGGGCGTCTCTATTGCAGTGGAACCAAAGTTCAACAGAAAACCTTACTGATATTAATCAGAAAAGAATAGATATCTAATAAAAATCAATTTTCCTATTCACATTGAGTGGATATGAGTTATAATGCTAAAACCAAGGAAAAACCCTTAACCACATTTCAATACACTATAAGAGATTAGATATTACAACTGAAGTTTTACAGATGAGGAAACAGTATCAGAAGTTAAATGGCTTCATTAAATACATATTTATATAACAGCTTTGATACAGGGAACCTTGAGGAAACTAAAAAAAAGAAGAAAATTCCTGCCCTCAAGGAATGCAACATTAATTAACTATGAAAAGAAAAATCAAATACTTTATTAGAGATATGTCACAGTATATTAAGGATAGCACAAAAAAAGTGAATGTTCCACTTTATATTGATCAGGAAAGGAAGATTCACTGACAAAATGGTGTCCAGAAAATCAACACAAAGTCACAAAGACATGAAATAACAGTAAACATTTACTGAACACTTACTTTGTGCCATGAACATCTGGAATTACTAAAGCTGTCTATCCTTTAAAACATAAAATTAAACATAAACTATTCAGAATAACCAAAGAATGCATATTGATTTAAAGAGCTAATAAAACTAAGCTGTGTACTTAATTACAAAAGACATCAATCTTTTTCATTATTATGCATCTGGAAAAGTAATTCAAAAGGGAAAAGTGGAATGGTCTATATATACACTGAATGTGTGAGTCGGCCCAAAACTCACACATTGCAGCCTTATCCTGTGTGATGGCCTCTTCAGGAGGTAATCAGGTCATAAGGGTGAAGACCTCAGGAATGCAATTAGCACCCTGTAAAGTGAAGAGGAACTAAAGAGCCTCTTGATGAAAGTGAAAGAGAAGAGTGAAAAAGCTGGCTTAAAACTGAACATTCAAAAAAACTAAGATCACAGCATCTGGTCCCATCACTTCCTGGCAAGCAGAAGGGGAAAAAGTGGAAGCAGTGACAGATTTTGTTTTCTTGGGCTCCAAAATCACTGATAACAGTGACAGCAGTCATGAAATTAAAAGACACTTACTCCTCAGAAGAAAAGCTATGACAAACCTAGACAACGTACTAAAAAGCTGAGATAACACTCTGCTGACAGAGTCAGTATAGTCAAAGCTATGGTTTTCCAGGAGTCAGATACAGATATGAGAGCTGAACCGTAAAGAAGGCTGAGCACTGAAGAATTAATGGTTTTGAACTGTAGTTCTGGAGAAGACTCTTGAGAGTCCCGTGGGTTGCAAAGAGATCAAACCAGTCGATCCTGAAAGAAATCAACCCTGAATATTCCTTGGAAGGACTGAAGCTGAAGCTCCAATACTCTGGCCACCTGATGAGAAGAACCAATCATTGGAAAAGACCCTGATGCTGGGAAGACTGAGGGCAGAAGGAGAAGGGGGCAATAGAGGCTGAAATGGTTGGACGGCATTACTGACTCAATGGACATGACTTTGAGCAAACTCTGGGAGATAATGAAGGACAAGGAAGCCTGGCGTGCTGCAGTCCATGGGGTCACAAAGAACTGGTCACGACTCAGCAAATGAACAACAAACCCACTGATATGTTAAATTCTAACCCCAGCATCTCAGAACGTAATCTTATTTGGGGATTGGGTCTTTAGGTAATCAAATCAAAGTGAGAAGTTAGTGTGGGCCCCCATCTATTATGACAGCTCTCCTTAAATAAAGGAGAAATCTGGACACCTAAACACACATGCAGAGAGGGAAGACCTAGAAAAGAGATACTTGGAAAAGAAACAGCCACCTACAAGTCAAGGAAAGAAGACAGGAGTACATTTCCTGGAAGGAACCAATCCTGCCAATATCTCACTTTGGAATTCTACCCTCCAGAACTGTGAGAGAGAAAGTTTCTGTTGCTCAAAACATCCTATCTATAGCACTTCATTATGGCAGCCTTAGCCTTATTCTAACCTGAGTCACTCAGGAGAGAAAGATGAGCAACAGAGGAGAGTCTGCCCTGAAAAAATCTATGGTCCAACAGGGAGAAAGACACATCGACAAATAACAATTTAAAAATTTACTGATGCCTTTCAAGGAGATTTCTGACCTCAACAAAAAACAGGCTCTGAGAACATATTCCGCAGAATATTTCAAGAAAAATAAAATACACACTATTTTTTTTTTTTTTACATAGTTTCATTTGCTTAGGAAACACATTTTTTTCACGTTTTTTTAAAAAGTTCTTCTTTTTAAAGAAAGGGCTTCCCTGGTAGCTCAGACGGTAAAGCGTCTGCCTACAATGCAGGAGACCCAGGTTCGATCCCTGGGTTGGGAAGATCCCCTGGAGGAAATGGCAACCCACTCCAATATTCTTGCCTGGAAAATCCCATGGACTGAGGATCCTGGTAGGCTACAGTCCATGGGATCACAGAGTCGGACATGACTGAGTGACTTCACTTCACTTTAAAGAAAATCACTATTTACAAAGGTTCCAGCCTATTTTTATTTCAATTTTATCTTCTTCCACATTCCACAAACCTTCTGGCAAGATCCTTTGCCGGCAAGTAAAGGATCACGTCTCTCACCCTTTCTCTTCTCCTCCATCTCCTCCCCCTTCCTTCTCTGGTTCTCAGTACCTTACAGGTAAGGAAATAGAGACATGGAGACAAGGAAATGGAGTCTCCCCTTTTATGCAGACTTTGCCAAATTATGTTCCCCCACTTTTGCTTCCCTGTTCTCAAAAAAATACTACTTCCACATCCTAGAAATTTTGTTAACAGCCTATCTTAAATTAAACTAACACTTTTAAAGTTACTATTTTTAAAATAAACCAGTTTCAAGGAATGCCTTGAGTTCCCTTTTCCATCAGTTTCTATTTTCGAGGTTTTGGTAAATTATTAATAACACTTTCTTCTCTTAACAAGCTGCTTATGCTGTAAACAAATTAACTATACATGGATACAAGCTCTTCCAATCTATCAAAACATACTGGTCATTCCACAGAAAAGAAAGTATAACAGAGTAGGTTTTAGGTTGAATATATACTGGTATGGAAAACCATCTCAAAAGATGCTTTTGAAATTAAATACAAGGTAGCAGCTTATTTAATATTTCTCTGTCCAAGTTAAATTTGGTATATACCTGCAGAAAAAGGTATAACCAACAGTGCATAAAAGAAAGGAAGAGTTGACCCTTGAAGAACCCAGGCATGAACTGCACAGGTCTACTTACACACAGAAATTTTTTAGTGTACTACTACAGTCCTACACAACCCAGAGTAGGTTGAATCTGCTTATGCAGAATTGCAAATAGAGCTGATTGTGAAGTTAGCTCCAGGCGAATTTCTGACTGTGTGGAGGGTCAGCACCACAGCCCCCCATACCAGTCATTCAAGGGACAACTATACTATTTATTTTCTCCATACTTCATATTATGACAGCTTAGAAATTAGACTTAAATTGATCTTTGAAAATCACTACATTTGGCATTAATAATAGTAAAATTTAAATTCTGTAGCACCATCAGAAGATTACGGTATTACTTTATTATATAGTATTTTATGAATCAAAAAAATTAGGAGAATTTTATTTTTCAATTGCATAAAAGGAATCCCCTTAAAATAATAATACAGCTTAAAGTGTTAAATCTCTTATTCACAGAAAGTTTTTCACTCGGCAGGACGCTGAGCAGGCTCTCGCCTCTGCCATCAAACATAACAGCAACTGCTGCAGCTCTCACCACCGTTCAGTCCCTAAGTCATGTCCAACTCTGCGACCCCACAGACAGCGGCACGCCAGACTCCTCTGCCCTCTGCTATCTCCTAGAGTTTGTTCAAACTCATGTCCATTGAGTCAGTGATGCCATCCAACCATCTCATCCTCTGCCACCCCCTTCTCCTCCTGCCCTCAATCTTTCCCAGCATCAGTCCCATTTCCAATCAATCAGCTCTTCGCATGAAGTGACCATATTACTGGAGCTTCAGCTTCAGCATCAGATCTTCCAATGAATATTCAGGGTTGATTTCCTTTAGGATTGACTGATATGATCTCCTACTAAGTGTTAAGGTTTGAACGGGGATTTTTTTTTTTTTTTAATTCACAACAACCCAGTGAGATACACAATTCTGAGACCTATTTTCCAGATGCAGAAACTAAAACAAAGCATGCTTATTAGCTTGCTTTCTCAAGATCCGACAGTCAAAACTCAGTCAGGACATGGCACAGTCAAATGAGACCCCCAAAGTCTGGAGTCATGACCATTCCTGCCCACCCTCAGGGTGAGAAAGTGTAGCAGCAGAACCTGTGGCCTCCCTGATAGTCACACCCCTTCTTCCTTACCAACAAAATCCCAGTTTTGTTGGAGCAGCAATACATATGTTTAAAAATCCTTAATTTCACTGATGTCTCTTTGGTGTAGGTGACACTGTGGAACAGATTCTGGCTAAAGGTAGAGGTCTGAGGGAGAGTACTCCTTCTCAGAGGAAAGTTCATCTGGAGAAAATCCTCCCAAGTCTACACTTTTCCTGAGAATTGGGCCTGCAGAATTCAGCTTCTACCTCATGACTGCAAAAACAGACCCTACACTAAGGCAGCAGAACTCAAAACGAGTCTGGCCCCCTGACCTTCTTGTGGCAGGAAATAAATTCAACCCATCCCTTCAAACACTTCAATACACTTTCCTATGATCCATAACTCCACGTCTTCCCTAACCATCACTAAGTAGTATAGTCCTTATTTACAAGTCATAATTTTATTTCTCAAATCAGATTCTTTTTAAAACCCTGCAGCCATGAATCTGAGCTTACCTATTGGGTTCTGTTGATAACAGTGAATTCAAAATACAAAAAAGTTTAGTAACTATCTATAGGAGGCATAAAAAATGGGGTAGATGGTGAAAAAGATGAGAGAGATACAAAAAACACCTTTTTACATTGTTTGGGTGTTTTTTTAAACCATGAATATATAGTTTTTCCAAATTATGTAAATGACTTTTTAAAAGAAAACAAATAAATCAAAGGAGGATATATTAGCCTTTTATCTTTCCTGCCAAGAAATCAACAAATATTACCTTTCTTGGGTCGACAGGATAATTCAAGGTGTTTCTCTGTAGTAGTCTTCTTTTCAGCTGTTAATGACTTCAGGCAGATAATGGTAACAGTAATAATAATAATTAATAATGATGTAGTAATTCATGTGACAAGGGCTAAAAACCAACAACATAAAATATTCAAGAACTTACACTACGCCCCTTTAACATATTCATCTATTTTCCTTTATTTACCAACAAGTATTCCCAAAGCACATACTTATAATTGCATTTTTATATTTTTCCAGAATCTAAACAGAGGGCTGTCTTTAATTTAGAGTTGATAATAGTGTTGAGCACTCCTTCTTATGGTGAGCACTTCAAAGTTACCACATAAACCAAAGTCAACCAGAATCCCTCAGTGCCATCAGGTTCTGACACAAAAGCATGTCATTAAATAGACTTCTTTCAAAGGTAGGATGCTCAACAGTGTCATCTTCTGAGACTATTTCCAGTATGCATCCCTATTTACGAAGTACAAAGTTCTACACGACAGAAAGAGGTGAATACTACTATGCTACAATCGTAGGGAATTCAAGGATGAGAAAAAACAAGTAACACATCAACTACAGTGTTCTGAAAGAAAATAAGGAAAGGAATTCCAAAGAAATATAAGTACAGTGGCATGAACTCTGAGGAAGCTAGGATTTGTCGCTCAGTGTTCAGGGAAGGCAGCATCATGACTTTACCGGAGTGCCGGGACTCCTCAGAAATCCTTCTCCACACCTGAGCCATGATTCAGATAGGGAAGCCAAGGCCCCTGCGGTCTGGAGCCCTGCTTGTCTGCACGGTAAGGGACTCTCCCCTGGAAAGGATGGGTACTCTGCATTCCGATTTCTTTTTCTCTGTAGAAACAGTTTTCAAAGAAAAAAATAAGGAAATCAATTTCATTAAATATACACTAACGAATGGTATTGTGGAGCAAGCCCAGCAATGGCATCAGTGAGGACACAGTTTTTATTTCATTTTCATGGAGAATTTCCATTTTAGTGTCTTTTTAGAGAACAGTATTTCTCCAGTCTCTAGGGACTTAGCTCCTTACATGGGCTTTGGTGGAGGCTGTGGGGCAACACCCGCAGGACTACTTCAGGGTGTTCGGTCCTTCTGGGCTTCTCGAGAATGACCCTGACCACCTTGCTGGGAGTGACACGGCTCACGCAGTAAGGTAGTTTCACCACAGTTCGCGAAGCACACAGGCATTGAAAACACTCGTTTCAGCAATGTCCGACGGCTTCGGCCTCTACTTTGTTCCAAATGATGAACTTCTTAATGGCCTTGCCCTTGAGCACGCACTGGACACAGCTGGTGCATGAACAGGCTGCAGGTGGCCTCGGCCCTGCCTAGACACGGGACCATCATTTTTTCTTTCCGTGGTCATTTTGGAAGCAAGGAGGAGAGAGAGAACTGGCAGTTTTCAAATGTCTCTCAACCTCCACAGAGAGAAGAGTCAGAAGACAGCAAAACTAAAAGGGCTTGGACAACACAACTAGACAAGAAACTCTAAAACACAAGTGGATGAGGACAAACCATGAACCCTCCAAAGTCTTGCATGGTGTTCCATTTGACAGGAAAGAGCCAAGAGAAGCAAGAAAACAGAGGACCAAGCACAGAGGCGCTGGTGTGCAGCAGGAAGGAGAGCAGCAGCTGGGAATGCGCCAGAAGTGGGAGGGCAAGGGCGCCACCCGAGAAGACCCAAGGGAACCAAGGAGCTTGTGTCCAAAAACGGGGACAACACTGATTTCTTTCCTCAAGCTATTTCGTTTTTTTAATGTCTATGACAAACAATGGAGAAGGAAATGGCAACCCACGGTGATATTCTTGCCTGGAGAATCCCATGGACAGAGGAGCCTGGCAGGCTACAGTCCATGGGGTCACAAAGAGTCAGGCACAACTGAGTGGCTAACACAATACATGACAAACATTCACGGTATAAGTTCTTTACTTTGCATTTTATTTTAAGGAAAACTTTAGATTTGCATTGGGAATTAAATTAAGGTAACCTATTAGAAGCTGATCACCTTATCAGAAATAAAAGCCCTCATAAAATAACACTGCAGTTTTAAAAAATAAACTAAGATTAAAATACACCATTAAAACTTCCTTAATTAGGAAGAAGGGAACAAATTCATAAAAAATAAATTCAGCCATAACATAGGTGGCATTTTAATACTTAAGAGGTCTAAGCATGCTTCCTCTTACGTAGAAATTCCTGTGGTGGGGAGAACTGCAAGCAGAGGAGACATCGGCCCTCAAGAAGGTGCCACCTCCACCAGAGTGCAGTTATCTGGATAGGTTCACTGAGTGATCCACAACAGTAAGGAAACTTGGAAACATCATTTGGTCTATTCAGTTCTTGGTCTATATATATACATATATTTTTAACTCGAGAATATCTCTTTAATACAATAAATCAGTCCAGGTCAGCTCCTCAGTAAAGGGGGTGATACCAGGGATGGGACAGGGAAGGACAGCATGAGCCTGAAATACCTTGAGCCAGAGAGTAAGAAACTGCTCAAGGAATAATGAGAGCATGCAAAAAAGACACAGGGGCTTGCATGAAGGGGCTCTCATGGCCAAATGTGGGACATTCCAGCATCAAGTAATGACAGTAAAGGATTATAACCAACTGAACAAAGTAAGAATGTAAGTCTACAATGACATAAACAAATAAATGACAGATTTCGAATATCATCAATGAATGCTAAAACTAGTGGGTGAAAGTTTGAGGATGAAGGGAATATATATATGGTCACAGAACATCTCCCCAGAAGTTACTTATTAATTCCAAAGTGAAAAACAGTAACTTTACAGTGGAGAAATCTTTCAGACACCATCTTAATCAAGTCATGAATGTTGATGTACACCATCACCAAGTGCTTCTTGATATAAGCCAACCTCCGCAGTATTACTACCAAAGACGAACAACCTAAGTCTCAACAGGGAAAATACCAGACAAACCTAAATCAACTGGGCTGCACACCTCAACAATGACGAAGCCAAAAAACACAGAGAAAATCTGAGGAACTAACCCAAATTAATGTAGGGCTACAGATGAAAAGAAAACATGTGATCCTGTGCTGGATCCTGAACCAGGAAAACATCATTATTAGGCAACTGATCTGAGAACATGGACATGAGTTTGGGTAAACTCTGGGAGTTGGTGATGGACAGGGAGGCCTGGTGTGCTGCGGTTCACGGGGTCACAAAGAGCTGGACATGACTGAGCGACTGAGCTGAACTGATCTGAGAACTGGAACAAGCAGACAGAGTGGGGCCATGAACCTCAGCTGGGAACATGCACGTCAGGTGACTCACAATTTTCCCTGCTCTACATATGCCTGCAAGAGACTATAAAAGCACCATGAGCACCGATTCAGGGATTACAAATAAAGTTGAGCAAGGAGGCAATTTCATAAATACACAATCTTTGAAAAACGAGGATTGACTGTATTTCGAACAGAGCATACTTAGAAAGAAGCAACTGGTTAAAACCCAAAAACATTAAACTCTGCTTTACTATCCACATCAACCCCTCACAGACCACTTTTCATTCTTCTCATCTCTCTGCTCAAGTTTTCACTTCTTTAAGTACATTATGTGTATGTATTTTATTTACTCATTTTGAAACTTTATTTCCTTGATATCAAATGCATGCCACTATGTATCTGTGGGATACTCCCTTTGGAAAGAAGTGAAAATTTCTAAATATTGCTTTGGATATCATGTAATAAATTTGGAGAACAAATCGAATGTCTACCAATACAAAGTTTACTTGGGTATCTGAATAAATCTCAGTGGCTCTAGCCACATATTCAATGGATGTCAACACTTTTTCACCCAGGAATTGATCTACATTAAGGAGAGAGAATGAGGAACAGATGTGAAGTTTAACTACATCAGCGAGTATGCCTGCACCGTGGTGCTCAGAGCCTGTCCTGTCAGGCTTACTGAGCAGGTGTTTTTTTTCAGAGACCCTTCCTTTGCTCTGACAACAGAACATGTCTCAGGCTTGTCACTCACTACCTTTGGTTACATCTGACTCGTCCACTGCTTCTCTGGATTTCATCCACACTCAGATTCTTCAGGCACTAGAACCCTGTAACTTAATATAAAGGACAGAATTCTAAGGTCCTGCTTTCCAGTCAGGCAGTGCAGACACTCTGCAGGCCCCGGGACACAAAATGAGCAAGAAAGACCCCACCCGCCAGCAGCTCAGGCAGCAGTGACACAGACCCTCCCACAAGTGCAAGGACAAAAGGGCCTGAGCCCCAGTTCCGACACCTCCCAGCCTGGCCTTCCACAGCCCTCTTCGGCGGTCCCTCCAACTCCCCCAGCCAAGCTCTTCTGTTCCACGTGCTGCTGCCAGGCGGGGCCTTTCCAACACCACACCTGCATCCACGGCACGTTTTGCCAGACATCACCTCTCCTCCTCCTCTGATCTCTCTAACAGATTTCTCCACAGATCATGCTCTCTTTTCCATGAAATATCCTTCAAAGTCTCCACCAACGCCCTCCCTCAGTGACCCCATCTGGCTTCTTGCCCAACCTACCCCTTGCCCTGGAGTAAGAGCTCCTGAGGGCAGGAGTCCCATGCCTCTGCACCTCATCCCCACTGCACAGCACCCCCACTGAGGTCCTCCTTAAATAACTACTGAACAAATATGCAAATTCCGTGACTATTACACCACACCTGTCACAGAATTTTTTAATATCCAAAGTAAGTATAAGCCTAAGGGGAAATGCAGCCTACTCATTTCCATTTTATTCACCTATGGTCAAAAACAGTACCTCCGGCAGAGCTCTCTACAAGGCTAGACATCATGGATACTTCTCCAGTGTTCACTCTGCCACAAGCAGGGGCTTACAGGGCAATTTCACCACCCAGCCTTCTCATTCATCCACCTTTTTCTAGTGACAAAACACACTCCCCCACCACAGTTTTGGGCACCCAACCCTGCCAAGGTTAATCATAGGACATCGGCCAGTCCACAGTGACTGGTCCAGGGACGCCACAGGACCCAAGCCGAGGCAATCAGAGACCCGCTCCAGTGGGACCACTGGAGAAGATTCTCTTCTCAACTCGGTCAAGGGTGTGTCCCCAAAGCAGCCAGCCACCTTATCCCATATAATAGGAAGAAACCTAAGAAAATCAAAACAGAAACAAGCCATGCTCCAGGCCAGAGGGCAGGTCCCCAAGCAGCCCAGTGCCCAGATGCTGTCAGCTACAGGCCAACGCATCAATCTTCCAAGCCTCTATCCAGCTTAAGTTGGCCTTCAACCACCAGATACTAAAAGAGCTGAACCACAGTATTCAGTAAATACCTATACTGAGCTGAAGTTACTCACTGAGCCCTCTGAATGTACATGGCCAAAACCTGTTTTCATCTTCAATGACCTTGGGCTCTAAGGACATAATTAGAGTGGAGGAAGAAATAGACCAACATTGGGCTGATGAGCTCAGAAACAGATTCATGAGGGAATGTTTCCTGGAGGAAGCTCGCTCTGACTTGAACAAAGGAAGAAACATACATTGGTAACAGCTACCTATAGATCCTGGATTGTCCAAGGCTAGTCAATGTCATGAGTTATTATCCTCCTCAAGCACAGAAATACCCAGGAAACTTCACAAGCAGAACACAAATCCTTTCACCCTCATCTTCAGGCTGTCCTGTCACACTGCTCTGGCCTGAGTCACAGCTGTGCTACCAGTTGGCTATATTTACAATTCTCAAGACCCAGCTTCTGTGTCAGTAAAGTATGGATAATAGATGCACTTATCTCAAGACCACCACCAAGATAAAATCTGTATTTAAAAATGATACTGTGAGATAATAGTACCATATAC